ATCATCAACAACATCATCATCATCATCAGTATCATCAACATCATTATCATCATCATCATCATCATCAAATCAACATCATCATCAATTCATCATCATCATCATCATCATCAACAACATCATCAACATCATCATTATCATCCTCATCATCATCATCATCATCATCAAATCAACATCATCATCAATTCATCATCATCATCAAATCATTATCATCAACATCATTATTATCATCCTCCTCCTCATCATCATCACCATCATCATCATCATCATCATCATCAAATCATCATCATCATCATCATCATCATCATCATCATCATCATCATCATCATCATCATCATCATCAAATCATCATCATCATCATCATCATCATCATCATCATCATCATCATCATCAAATCATCATCATCATCATTATCATCATCATCATCATCATCATCATCATCATCATCGAAAGCATCAACAGTCCCAGCACTCCTTCGGGAGCTTCACAGCACAAGCTGATCATAATCACACCACATCTGAAAACAACAACAAAAAAAGGTGTAATGATGTGGAATAAATCTTCACCATGTCCTCGTCTGTTGTCTTGTTTAATCTCTATTCGTATTAAAAGCATTTTAGATATGTATATGTAATATATTCATTCATTCATTCATTTATTTTCTTTTTGGCTTAGTCCCTTTATTATTCCGGGGTTTCCACAGCGGAATGAACCGCCAACTTATCCAGTATGTTATTTTATTAATTAGAAAAATAAATGTTTCAATGTGTTTGCAGACTCTAATCGGATAAGTCAATATCAAAGCACCTAATATACTTCACTGAATATGAGTTTAAAATATTGCAAAGCAACCATAAACAGTTAATGAGCGCTACAGGACTATATTAGCTTAATTAATGGTTGCATCTTCATACTGCTGCTGTTGCCACCATATAAAAGTAATGTGGGCTCAAAAGCATGGCACTGCAATCTAGTTTATTGCACTGCCGCTATAAAGCAGATTATTTATAGCCAATAAAAATAGCCCGTATAGTCTTGTGATAAGGCAAATCACCAGCATGCTCTTCATATCTGCTGAACTCTGATAACCACACCACTGAACCACACGCACATGACAAAACACCAGTCATTTATAGTAAATACTAGGGGCAAAGCAACTCAGGGGGTGCCGAAGGGCATACATCCTCCTCACTTTTAAAGACAGACCATTTAAAAACATTGTATGAATTGGATCTCATACTGCTGTTCCACACACTTTTAAAATGTCCGCTACGCTACTGGTAAATACCGTAGTGTTTCTGAACCATACTCTAGTGCAAGAATCACCAAACTTGTTCCCAATTTTAGCTCCAAATCAAACACACCTAAACAAGCTAATCGAGGTCTTACTAGGTATACTTGAAACATCCAGGCAGGTGTGTAGAGGAAAGTTGGAGCTAAACCCTGCAGGGACACCGGCACTCCAGGACCGAGATTGGTGACCCCTGCTCTAGTGTATCCATCATAGTATTTCACATGTCTTTAACACTTTGTTAATAAATGCTACAGCTTAATGCAATAGTATCTGGATGCAGCCTTTATGATGCAAGCTGAGATTGAATCCCTCAACGATGCAATCTCAGACACAATGCACTCAATGGAGCGAGTGACGTCACTGTGATGGGTAGGGTTAGGGGTGGGAGTAGGTGAGCCCATTAAAAAGCATTGGATGCAGCTCAGATTGCACTGCACCAGGTCTGCAGCCAGACCCCTCTCTTCATGAACTAATAAACTCCAATAAATAATAGTATACCTTACATTTAACTGCAGTAAACTCTGGTGTATTGTAGAATAATATGGCCATATAGTTGTAAACTACAGTAACGGGGGTCAGTTGTTTATGATACTTGCTGCTGTGTTACCATAGCCATAATATTGAATAGAATAATTCAAGTACTTTACTATAGTAAATGTTAACATATAAATAAGCATATAAAGCTAATTTTAATTGGTTTTATTTTAAATTAAGGTCAAAAAACACTTTAGTATTTCAATCTACCGTTAACTGCAACTTTCGGGATGCTTGCACTGTATTTGTCGTGTCTTTTATGATGCTTTGTCATCTTCATGCTCAGTGTTTTCTAGAAATCTCATTACAGATGTTGCTTTCCCTGCAGCTTTGTTATTGAATCACGTCAAAAGACTTCAAATTACATTTTCAATTCGGATTCATGCACATATCTCAGTCATTTATGTTGCTGATCATGAAATCGGATGTCAGACGTGCTCTGTGGAGTTCACTACAGCAGGACTGAACTAACTCTGACCTTTTGCACACATTCACAACACAGCACGCGCAGAAGCGCTGAATCATTACCGTAATACACGGAATAAACATGTCAGTCAATGTCACAAATGAGAACTGAAATGTAAACAAATGTTATGAATAACCATATTATCATTCATTCATTTATTCATCAGGGGTCGCCACAGCAGAATGAACTGCCAACTTATTGAGCATATATTTTACACAGCGGATGCCCTTTTAGCTGCAACCCATCACTAGGAAACTCCATTCACTCTCATTCATACGCATACACTACGGACGATTTATCTTATCCAATTTACCCATAGCGCATGTGTTTAGATTGTGGGGGAAACCACGCCAACATGTGTAGAACATGCAAACCACAAAAATGCCAACTGACCCAGCCGGGGCTCGAACCACCGACCTTCTTGCTGTGAGGTGATTGTGCTACCCACTGCGCAACCATGCTGCCTGCAGGGATTTATAGTTCGCCTAAAGAATAACAACGCGTGCAAGAAAAATAAGCTTTGTAACTTTTGATTTCACATGGACTTTAGGTTAAAGACTGCATGAACCGGAAGCTGTAGCCATTTTTTTTTCGTATTGTGACGCAGTTCCTAGAGAAACTAAATAATAAATGAGAAAACAGTGGGCGTGGCTTGTTTTTTCTACTGCGAGCTGATTGGATGTAGTAAAGCAGACATTACATTCTGAAACATCGAGAAACATCTGCAATCGCATATTTCCATGCAATATAATACACTGAAAACAGTAAACGAGTCAAGTAGTATGTCCGAATTCATGGTTGTTGCTAGATCGGATATGGTTGCAGACGAAACTTAATGAGAATTATTTATATTGTTTATTAAATTTCCCATTTATTGTATTTTATTAAAGAAGGTCGATGGTTCGAGCCTCAGCTGGGTCAGTTGGCGTTTCTGTGTGGAGTTTGCATGTTCTCCCCTTGTTGGTGTGGGTTTCCTCAGGGTGCTCCCTCACAGTCGTGAATTGGGTAGGCCATTGTCTGTACTGTATGAGTGTGAACAAGTGTGTATGGATGTTTCCTAGAGATGCGGCTGGAAGGATATCCGCTGTGCAAAACATATGCTGGATAAGTTGGCGGTTCATTCCGCTGTGGCGACCCCAGATTAATAAAGGGACTAAACTGAAAAGAAAATGACTGAATGAATGTATTTTATTAACGTCTACCCCCACCTCAACCCTAAACCCAATCGTCACAATAACGTAAAAACAGTAGTTGTATTGAGTATTATTTATGCTATCTATTAAATTACCCAGTGAATTGTATTTTTTAATGCTTACCCCCACCCTAACCCTAAACCCAACCATCACAGTACTGTAAAAATATTAACTCTTGTTATACAGTGTCATAAAAAATGCTGCTATTAATGTGCAAATCACACTTCCGTCCGGCTGCGTATCCGATCTAGACCCCCACAGCAGCCTCGATTTCGCTTTTAAAATGGCGGCCGCCTGAAATCAGTCCTCAACAAACAGGAGGGCATTTTCAGATTTAATTTTTTTTCTTAATAACCTGCACAGATTAATTGTTCACCACAATACTGAATTGTAACCAAAATCCTATGTTTAGTTTTGATTTCATTTATACTTTTATTGTTAAACCATACACGCCGCACACGCGGCTCATTTACGGAAGTTACGGTAATGCAAACATCACTGCCGCTATTAGAGTTAAAGAGGCCGAACATTTGGTGACAGCGGGACTCAAATCTGCTCCCACTACGAGGTAAGCCCATTGAATAATCTCTAATTCAGTCAAATCGTCAACATAACCGCGTGAAGCATCTACATGACGTCCACGCGTGTCCTTTCAGCACTTTGAATTCATAGCTTTTGCTCTGTTGTCTATCTGTCAGGCTAGTTATCATCGTCTCTGATGCTGCTTATTAAAATTATGCTTTGGATATTTAACTTTTTCAAGCTCTCGACAGTTTTAAAATGAATGTGTCAGAAAGATATCAAGAGGAAATGTGTGTAGTTTTGACTTACTTCTGGCATTAGCAAATTAGCTAACTGCTCGGTGACAGAATTAATCTTGCACAATGCTAATAACGACGATTAGTTATGGACGTAAAGTACTATAGCATGCTATACATACTATAGCAAAGTGTGTTGTACTGCACATATTATATTATTTACACAGTTTTGTCAACGAATGAAAAGTTTTTTACTATAGTAAACTGATAACCTGTCATAAATACTGTACTTCAGTTTTTACTGCAGTAAACTGTGGTGTATTATGTGGGTAGTTTGTTTATATTACAGCTTGTAGTTGTGTTACCATGATACTAAGTTAGATTTATTCCTGTATTTACTATAGTATGATTAAAAACACTATTTTAAATGGCATACTATAGTATATATTGATTCCACATGGCTTATTATACATTACTTTGCTTTTCTGTGATGTTTTATTACACTTAAAGAAGGTGAGATCGAGCACAGACTTCAGTAAATCATTATCTACACAAGTTCACAGAGACCTGGGGACAAAAACTGCTTTATTTCATAGTCCAGAGTCTAATGCACACAAAAACACTGCAACAATAATGCTGGGTTGTCATATAACCCAACGCTGCGTCGAATATTGACAAACCTAAAAGATGATATTAAAAATTAGCATTGGGTTATTATTTTTAAAAGAACACTATTTTAATCCAGCTGTTTGGTTTGTTCATATTTGACCCAACATTGGGTTACAACAACTATACATTTTTGATAGTGCGAGCTCTCAGTGTCTCTCTCTCTGTAGAAAATAGCATTTGAGTCACAAGACTGGGTGGAAATGCATCACAGCCGATTATGTTTGTTGTAGTTTGTTATGCAAAAGTCTCACGCTTGGAGATATCCCACACTAGTGATTGATTGTAGTAAAGATCTTTATTTTGCATTAAGATATGTGTTGTTTATAATGAGTTCTCCCTTTTTGCAAAACAAAAACGTCTTGCAGAGAAATACAATTGTTTATTATGTGAACTTGGACTGATCAAACTGGTTAAGGAGATTTTTAAATGGGAACTGTTGGATTTTTTGTGAGAAAAGTAAACTAGTAATTTATAAACAAAAAGGAAAAGTGTGTGTGTGTGTGTGTGTGTGTGTGTGTGTTTATTTTAAATAAAAAATAAATTAATTAGTTTTTATCAACAATTGGATTTAATAAATAAACAAATGCATAATGCACAAGTTAAAAAATTAAGTCTTATAAATAAATTATTAACATTATTTAACTATATTCAAAAATATTTGAATATAAATTTTTTAATGAAAATTTTTATTTTCATTTTTTAATTTATTTTGAACAAAATTACATATAAAACAAAACACTTGAAAATAAATTATTTATAATATAACTTGTTTACTTTATTGGATATTTGTCTGCTTGCTCTCTGTTACTCTGCTAGCTTAGTTATATTAATCAAATTTATTTGTTCATTTATGTAAATAAATGTAAACTAATAAAAAAAAAATTCAATATTTTTGGTTTAATTTTTAATTTATTTGTTTATTCATTGCTCATTCATTTAAGCTTATTTACCTGAATGAAACATTTGCATATTATTTAATTTATTCCAATGTAAAAACAAGAAAAATATTAATAAATAAGTAAATAAAGAAAAACAAATCAGAATAAATATATTAATGTGTAATAAATATGTAATATGATTTATTACATTATTTAATACATATGTAAATATTAAACAAAATTACATAAACAATTTTTTAAAAATAAATCATTAATAATATTTTATTAATAAATTGTATAAACAAATTATTAATAATATTGCTTATTGCTACTTTGCTAGCTTAGTTATATGAATTGAATATATTTATTCATTTAGGCAAATAAATGCATAATGTTTTTTTTCAATATTTTTAGTTTATTTTAATATATTTTTTATTCATTGCTCATTCATTTACCTATTTAGCTGAATAAAACATTTGCATATTATTTAATTTATCCTAAAGTGAAAACAAGAAAATAATTGATTAATTCGTCAATAAAGTGAAGCAAAAAATCTGAATAATATATTAATGTGTAATAATGCACTTATGTAACCATACATTACTATACTGATTAGAAAAGTAATATAATAACATGATTTGCTAAATATTAATAATCTTAATTTGAATACTTATGGACAGGCCTATGAGATTATTGTTCATTTTTGCACCATATTCTTTGTTGTTTTTTATGTGCAGATGCCTTTTAAATGATGCAATTTTGCATAAAAGTGACTGTCTTTAAGCGTCTGTGACATCAGGAATCTTAGATCAGTAGTCAGACCTTTTTAATGAGTATAAAGGATCTGTGTTTGTGCTCAACCTTCGGGTTAGTTGTGCTGGAGGGTTTAGTTGTTCTGCCTGTTTGGTCGGTTGTCTTTTCTAATCTTGTGTTTGAATAGTTGCACAATCCTCAGCCATAAAAGTAAGAAGAAAGCCACGTTTCTGCACAGCATGGCCTCATTGCTTGCTCATTTTTTCCAGAGGACCAGATTTTTAAAAATACCTGCTAGGATGGAGCACGTTGAAGCACTTTCAGCCTCCTTTTTATCATTAGCTGACTTAGCATTGTTTTTGAGACATTCCTGGCAGATCAATATTTGTAGAATGTTTTAAAAATGTTTTGTTTTGCGTTTAATCCTTCAATCAAAATTTTCCTAATGGAAAAAAAATAAACAGGGCACAATATAATGACATTCACCATTGACATGACAATATACATAGACTTTAAATGAGATATTCATTCATTCAGTCATTCATTCATTTTCCTTCAGCTTAATCTCTTTATTCATCAGGTTGTGGAATGAACCACCAACTTATCCAGCATATGTTTTACACAGCAGATGCCGTTCCAGCTGCAACCCATTACTGGGAAACACCCATACACACTTACATTCACACACACTACATGCATGCATATAGCGGATGTGTTTGGACTGTGGGGGAAACCGGAGCACCCAGAGGAAAATCTACGCCAACTTGGGGAGAACATGCAAACTCCACACAGAAATACCAACTGGCTCAGTCGGAACTCGAACCAGCGAACTTCTTGCTGTGCTAACCACTGAGCCACTGTACCACCCCACATCAGGTCATATATTTGAAAAATATCAGTAAAATATTTAGTTTGGATGCAGTTAAATGACCTTTACGCAGACATGACATGACTTGACTTGGTTTAAAATGCATTGAGTGAAACGTTGTTGGCTTGATGTTTGGTTGAAAATCATGGTCTGATCGCTCACCCGATGCATCAGTCCAAAACATTTCCAAATCTCCAGCTTTGCTTGAGAAATCCAGAAAGCAAATAGCGTACAGTTCAGTGTCTGTGACAGTTTCAGAGAGGGCCGGGTTATCTCTGATGGCGCTTATCTCTGCAAGATCCAGCAAATATCAAGGTACTGATGTAAACGGTGGATTTGTCAACATATTCAGTTTCTGTGTAAAATTGTGTGTGTGTGTGAAGCTGTGTGTGTCTGCTTGATCTCAGGCGGTGTTGTCTCGACCGTCACGTACAAGCCTCTTCATTCTTGCAAGATCTCAGAGCTTTGGGGTTAAATAGAGGCAGAAAAAAGATTGATATCCCATTCGCAAAGCTTGAACTGACTATAGTAGGATAAGATATTCTGGGAATTTACTTGTGTTTTGGAGAATTATTTCTATTATTAGTTTGTGGACAGGAACAAAGGTGTTTTTATTTTATTTATTATTTTTTTTATTTCATTTTATTTTCTTATTTTATTTATTTTTTTATTATTTGATTGATTTTATTTATTATTTTATTTTATTATATTATTTTTATTTTATTTATTTATATTTTATTTTGTTTAATTTAATTTATTTTCATTGTTTTATTTATTTTTATTTTATTAATTAATTTTTTATTTAATATTTATTTAGTTTTATTTTTTATTTTATTAATTTGTTTATTTTGTTTTTTTTGTTATTTTTTATTTTATTTTATTTATTTATCATTTTATTTATATATGTATTGTTTTATTTTTACATTATTATAAATTAATTTAAATAATTATTTCTATTATTAGTTTATGGACAGGAACGGGTGTTTTAATTTAAAATTTTATTTTATAGGGAACTGTAAATGCTGGTTGACTTTTATTGTAAACTAGTTTAATTAAATATTTCTGTTATCAGTTTCTGGGCAGGAATGGGTATTTTATTTTAATTTATAGTGAGCTAGTTGACATCATTGTAAATTATTTAAATTAAATTATGTCTATTATTAGTTTCTGGACAGGAACAGGTGTTTTATTTTAATTTATTTTATTTTATGGTGACCTGTATATGCTGGTTGACATTATGAATAAATTAATTATTATAATAATTTAATATAATAATTTCTATTATTAGTTTCTGGACAGTAACAGGTGTTTTAATTTACATTTATATATATTTTATTTTATATTTAAAAGTTTACTTTTTATTATATTATTATTAATATTATAATTTTTTTTTTTACTTTGATATTTTAAGGCAGTACAGTGGAGACAGGAAAGCATGGGGAGCGGATAAAATGTACTTTTTAAAAGTGGTCTCTCTCTAAGTTAATTATAAATAATGATAATAATAATAATAAATAGTAATAATAAATAATAAACTTAACTGTTCTTCTATGCCTTTTAATATATATGTTTACAGTTAGCAATAAAAAAAATGTTGAGTATTTAAATCAGAATATTTGTTAAATTTCTTACCATATTTGTAAACAAAACATGCTGTGGGTGGCAGTATCATAAAACATGTATCATGCACAAAAAAATAAAATAAAATTGTAACGTAAATGTAATGTGCATTTATATAGCGCATTTAGTGTTTCAGCTTATAGTAATGTTTCTCTTTCTCTCCTCCTCAGCTGAAGGTTGAAGCGTGTGCAGTAAGGAAGAGTGTTTTCAGTTATGACGAACCCTTATGCACACACCGTTGAGCCTCTAGACCCCCAGAAGCCGGACCACAAGTTCTTCAACCTCAGAAAGCTTAAAGACCCCAGATATGGTAAGATCATTTTTGATGCGTGTTTCATTGCATTATTTAACCCTTTAAGTATCCCCATCAGCTGTTGTGCTAAAAGGTTTATTGCATTAGAAATAACTTAAAGGGATGGTTCACCCAAAAATGAACATTTACTCATTATTCACTTTCCCTCAAGTGGTTCCAAACCTTTTCTCTTGAACCCAAAAGAAGATATTTAGAAGAAAACTGAAAACCTGTAATTGCTGCCTTTCTTTGTAGAAAAAGCAAACACTAATGGAAGTCAGCAGTTACATGTTTCCATCATTCCTCAAAATATCTTCTTTTGCGTTTAACATAATAAAGTGGCTCGTAAAGGTTTGGAACCCCTTGTGGTTGAGTAATTTTTTACATTTTTGTGTGAACTACCCCTTGAAGTCCTCATAGATAAAAAGGTTAAAGTTGTGTTGATGTGTGTGTTTGTAGAGCAGCTGCCCTTCTCCATCCGTGTGCTGCTGGAGTCTGCTGTCAGGAACTGCGATCAGTTTCTGGTGAAGCAGGACGATGTGGAGAAGATCCTCAACTGGAAGGTGACGCAGAGTCAAACGGTGGAGGTGCCGTTCAGACCGGCCCGCGTCATCCTGCAGGACTTCACGTATGTTTCTAATTCTGTCCAGATCATCTATCTATCTATCTATCTATCTATCTATCTATCTATCTATCTATCTATCTATCTATCTATCTATCTATCTATCTATCTATCTATCTATCTATCTATCTATCTATCTATCTATCTATCTATCTATCTCTATCTATCTATCTATCTATCTATCTATCTATCTATCTATCTATCTATCTATCTGGATGGATGGATGGATGGATGGATGGATGGATGGATGGATGGATGGATGGATGGGTTACAGATTGCAATACATTTGCAAAATTTTCCCATGGAATCTAAAATTGAATATGGATATCAATATTTTTCAAGGAATCATTCTGAAGCTGATAATACCAGTATCATGAAAACACTGAACTGAGTCTCCACAGCTCTCGTCTGTTCATCAGTGTGTTTTATATATATATATATATGTGTGTCTGATTGTTTGGCAGGGGTGTACCTGCAGTGGTGGACTTCGCAGCCATGCGGGATGCGGTGAAAAAACTGCAGGGCGACCCGGAGAAGATCAATCCAGTGTGTCCCGCAGACCTCGTCATCGATCACTCCATTCAGGTCGACTTCAACAGGAAGTAGGTCTATTGGTCATGTATATGATACATGATAGATATATATATATATATATATATATATATATATATATATATATATATATATATATATATATATATATATATGTAAAGTTCAGATGCAAAAACCTCTAAGTGCCATCTGAAATTTTCATTAATATTAGCATTTTTCTCAGGCTCCTGTGCGTAGGTTTGGCAATTTTCATACACTTATATGGCAAAGAATAGGATCTATTCATTTAATTAAAAGTGAAATAAATGATTATAAACCTAAAAGGCTAAGAAAAATGTTAATTTTAGATATTTATTTTTATATATATTTAAGATTGTGGATTTCTTTTTCATTTCTTACAAACCCAACAAAATCCTAATGTGACCGTAAGTTGATGTCACTCAGTGCATTATAAAAAAGGTAACAGTATAACTGTAAAATTAAAAAACTGTGCATTTAGAGTCACACTTATAATAAAGCACCTCCAAGAATGCAACGAATACATTAATAATGTTTTAATCATTTGCGTATTTTGTATGTGTATAATATGTATATCTGAAATATATTCAAATATTTAAACTAAAACTTTAGATGTGCAGTGCCTAAAACCCTGCAGAAGAGTAATCTGATAAAGCTTGACTGCATTTCAGTATATTTAGTTTATTTATTTTCTTTTTTTTCTTCTCTATTTTCTTTTTAAGTCTAAAATGTTTCTGTCAACTTCAAATAAAAGGTGAAACAAAAATCACACTTGGAGTATTATAATTTTAGTGCTTTTTCTGTTCTTTAAGGTCTGACAGCCTTCAGAAAAACCAAGATCTTGAATTTGAAAGGAACAGGGAACGCTTTGAGTTCTTAAAGGTGATTTTGGTTCTTTCTTCACGTCGCATTTAGTAATAATGTTTGCATCTTAAAGAAATGCTGATTTTTGTCATCTGTTATGGTTCTCAGTGGGGCTCTAAAGCATTCAGGAACATGCGGATCATTCCTCCGGGATCAGGAATCGTCCATCAGGTCAACCTGGAGTATTTGGCCCGGGTGGTGTTTGACCAGGACGGGTTTTATTATCCGGACAGTCTGGTGGGAACAGACTCTCACACCACCATGATTGATGGGCTAGGAGTGCTGGGCTGGGGTGAGTGAAAGACCATCCACATCCACAGCAGTAACATTATTTAAAATTGTATTTGGTCTTTACATTTATCAAAAATAAATAAATAAATCAAAATGGCAATATTGCAACAGAAACCAAACTTTTAAACATATACTTGTGAATGCCCTATTTTGACTGTTATCAGACAACGATTTTTATCTGGAGAAACTTTAAATGAAATAATTATAAATGTGAATCCTTCCAAAATGTTACTTTTTAAAATCAAAAGTAAGCCTTAAAAAACTGTTTTTCAATTTTAATACATTATATATTTTATATTGTATTATATTTAGGTCCATCATTGAGTCTATTTATTTACTTGTGCAAATGTGTGTAAATTTATATTTATTCAGTTTGAAAATTAAATTCAGTAATATTATTTACTTATGAAAATGTTCATTTGATTTATTTACAAAAAAAAAAATTGTCATATTTTCTGTCTTTTAGTAGATCTATTATTTGAGAGACTTGCTTTGTTTACCAAATGAGTGGATCTAATTGGTGAAAATAAGAAAGGGAAAAAAGTTAACTTAAAGGGAAAAGGGAACTAGAGTGGCACCAAAAGCAAAGAAATTGTTTAGTTGCACGTGTTCCATGCACTTGCCATTGTATTATTACAATAAATTGATTTAATTGATTTGATTTAATCAACCCTAAACTTAAAACACATTCTAACCTCAACCATATAGTATGTACTGTACATGTAATAAATTAATATTACGCCGTAGTTAAATGAATAGTTACACTATATGTGTCACCTTAAAATAAAGCATTACCAATGCTATTTCTCGGGTGGGAATTTTGTGTTCATTACTGACTTAATTATACTTAAAAAGAAAACTGGTAATTTTATTATTTTTTTTAAATGATTAAGCATCAAAACGGACAGTTGAAGTTGAATTATTAGCCCTTCTGTTAGTTTAATAACTCATTGCTAATAACAGATTTATTTTATCTTTGCCATGATGACAGTAAATAATATTTGACTAGATATTTTTCAAGACACTTCTATACAGCTTAACGTGACATTTAACTAGGGTAAGTAGGCAAGTCATTGTATAATAGTGGTTTGTTCTGTAGACAATCGGAAAAATATTGCTTAAGTGGGCTAATAAAATATATATATATATATATATATATATATATATATATATATATATATATATATTGCATAGGAGGGCTAAACTGTATATGTTACGTTATAATTAGTTGATCCTTTTAAAATGAAAATAAATGCTGTTTTGGTTCAGGTGTTGGAGGTATTGAGGCAGAAGCGGTCATGTTGGGTCAGCCCATCAGTATGGTCCTGCCGGAGGTCATCGGCTACAGACTGCTGGGGACGCCTGACAAATACATCACCTCCACTGACATCGTGCTCACCGTCACCAAGGTGGAGAAGTGTGGACTTTTATGGGGATTAACAAAATATTCTAATACTCTGAACGTTTCATGTGAAACAAGAGCCTAGATTTGCTAGATTTGGCCCACAAATCACTTAGTGCTGCATCTGTTTATCTACCTATAAATCTAAGTTTATCTATATATTATATAGCCATTCATGCATGCATCTTAAGCTAAAAGATGACTTTACATGTGCTGAGCCTGCTGCTCCTAGGGCTCTATTTTGACAATCCATGCGCAAAGTCCAAAGCGCAGGGCACTAACACATTCTGGGCGTGTCAGTATCCACTTTTGCTAATATAAGGACGGAAAAATCCACTTTGAGCCGTGACGTATGGTCTAACAGGGTTGAGCTTATTCTCTTAATGAGTTATAGGTGTGATTTGAGAATAAACCAATCAGAGTCTCATCTCCCATTCCCTTTAAGAGCCAGCTGCGTCGCGCCATAAGCGCATTTGCTATTGACATGACGTAAAGTAAGTGGAAAAACTGAACGCTTCACTTGAGAGAAAACAATTAAACAGAGCATCTACAGCATGAGAATGAGAGATGAGCCTCCTCATTATCTACTTTCACTTTCACTCTCATGGATAGGGAAACATGTTGTACACAGACATCAATTAGCCTATAAATAATTAATTTAGTTTGTTAACTAAAAACGTACTATTTTAGTTTGTTAGCGCATAGATTTGTTTCAAAACTATTTCTAAATTCAGTTCTGATTTCCAGCAAACGAATAAAAGAACAATAATAACCAAGTGTGCTCCAAAAACTGAGTTATTTCCAAACACGCATGCTGTGCCCCGTATGGTCTAAAACCTGACAGGTGGACAAATCTAAGCTTATTTTTAATAAAACAAATATAAATATGCATATAATAAATAATACTGCTAATAATAATAACAATATACAAAAGCAAAATGTCATGAATGAACTGAAAAAGCCTCCCAAGAGGAAGATGGCATGAAGGTATGGTTTTTATATTTATGTAGGCTAGAAAATAATATGTTTTGTAATGTTTTAATCCTTTAATTCTTTTTCATATGTAAAGATTGTAAAGAAAGAAAAGAAATGTAAAGATATTTGTGTATTGCTGTACATCCTGTGTGTATTAAGCAATGTGTAAGCGAGATGCACAACTAATGCGCTCTGTGCTGGACTGTAGACCTGCTTTGATCTGGTCTATAGAACAGTGTATTTAAGTTCCTCAAAATAGCAACGTAACAGGAATATGCCTCAAAAGGCCTCCTTTTTTAGACCAGAACGCCTATGGGCGCACATATGAGTGCAAATAGATCTGCTATTCAAACAGCGTGGTGCAAAACGTCAAAACGAGTCTTGCGCTGAGCTGAAACTAGCAAACAATTATTGCATTGCTCCTTGCGCCAGGTGTATGATAGGGCCTCTAGCATGTAAACAGAACAGCACACATTCAATTTCATGCTTTTAAATCATTAATAAATAAATAAATAAGGTAACACTTTACAATAAAGTTGTATTCGTTAATTTTGGTTAATACATTTACTAACATGAAAAAACAATGAACAATACATTTACTATATTATTTCTTCATGTTTGTTAACGTAGTTTGTAGCGAACTTTTTGTTTCACTTTTTATTACTTAGTATTTCTCATGCACAACAGAATGCTGATGTTTAATTGTTAGCCCGATTGGCAGTAGACATGATTATATTAAGCACTTTGCCCCCTTGATATTAGGTGGCCTTAACTAATATCTACTTGCACTTATTGTGTAAAGAAATGTTTTTAGAGTTTCTATTGTTTTATTAGTGGAAGATATGCTCTTATTGACCTCAAAGCAGATCAGAGTGTGGGAACCACTGAACTCAGTTTCTCTGTTCTTCTGTATGTTTTCTCTGGACAGCATTTGCGGCAAGTTGGTGTGGTTGGGAAATTTGTTGAGTTTTTCGGGCCTGGTGTTGCACAGTTGTCCATCGCTGACCGCGCCACCATCGCCAACATGTGCCCGGAGTATGGAGCCACCGCTGCCTTCTTCCCTGTAGACCAGATCAGCATCCAGTACCTGAAGCAGACCGGTGGGTTAAACATTTAGAAAATAAGCACCCTTCAGAATAGTTTTGAAAAAAGTACATGATATAAATAATACACTTTAAAAGAAATTACATTACAGTATATTATAAAGTGTGTGTACTTAAAGGGATAGTTCACCCAAAAATGTAAATTCTGTTTTAATTTACTCATTCTTAAGTCGTTTTTAAACCTTTATGAGTTTCTTTCTTCTATTGAACACAAAAGAAGATATTTTGAAGAATGTTGGAAACTGGTAATCATTGACTTCCATAGTAGGAAAAACAAATACTGTATTGTGTTCAGCAGAAGAAAGAAACTCAAACAGGTTTGTGAAAAGTGAATGTGTGATTAAATGATGACAATTTTCATTTTGTGTGATTTATCCCTTTAAGTTAACGAATGTAGTTTTTTTTTTTATTAATTCGATGTTTGTAGCAATTTAATGAACATTTTTATTATTATTATTCATTATTTTTATTACTATTAATTATAATTTTTCCCCTTATTGTTACTATTTATTATTATTATTATTATTATTATTATTATTATTATTATTCATTATTTTTATTACTATTAATTATAATTTTCCCCCTTATTATTACTATTTATTATTATTATTATTATTATTATTATTCATTATTTTTATTACTATTAATTATTATTATTTTTCCTTATTACAATTAATTATTATTACTATTATTAATTATTATTACTATTATAATTAATAATAATCATTAATAATAATAACAATGAAAATTATTATTATTATTATTATTATTATTATTATTATTATTGTTGTTTCTGTTGTTGTTGTTGTTGTTAATATTATTATTATTATTATAATTAATTATTATTATCATAATTATTATAAATTAAAATTATTATTGTTGTTGTTATTATTATTATTACTATTAATTATAATTTTTTTCCTTATTACTATTAATTCTTATTACTATTATTAATTATTATTATTATCATTAATAATAATCATTAATAATAATAATTATTATTATTGTTGTTGTTGTTGTTGTTTCTGTTGTTGTTGTTGTTGTTATTATTATTATTATTAATATTATAATTAATTATTATTATTATCATAATTATTATTATAAATTAAAATTATTATTGTTGTTGTTGTTGTTGTTGTTGTTGTTGTTGTTGTTGTTGTTGTTGTTGTTGTTGTTGTTGTTGTTGTTGTTGTTGTTGTTGTTATTATTATTATTATTATTATTATTATTATTATTATTATTATTATTTAATGAATTAACCAAACCTAAAGTTGCTTTTTCGAATCACTTAGGTGTCATTATTTTAACTTTTTACATATTATGATTATATTATTGAAATATAGTCTTATAGAAATATAAGTATTGAAATTGGGAGACACAGTTGATGTTTAGTCAGAAGTGTTCATGGTATAATTGTAATAATTTTTATTTCATTGTTACCTAGTGTCTCTTAAGTTTAGTCATTTATAAATGTCAGAGTTCAATGCATTTCATTAATACAAGGTAATACAAGAAAAGTGTGCTTAACTTAAAAAATATTCCAAAATAAATATATAAAACAGACATTATTATTACAAAGTACACTTTCATAAACTTTTCACACTTTTGTTTCTTAACATATTTAGGATCACGAGTGGCCTTTATTTCAGTTTTAATGATATTTAAACGTTATTTTTATTACCTCAAGTGTTTCCAAATGTTTATGAGTTTCTTTATTTTGTCGTCACAAAAGATATTATTTTAAAATAGCGTTGAAATACGGCAACCAGTTAATGATTCACTGAATAAGTGAATAATAATTGTTATTTTTGGAAGAACTGTGCCTTTAAGACTTTTTTTTTGTTTCATATGTGTGTGTTTTTAGGGAGGGACATGGAGAAGCTGAGTTACATAGAGAAGTATCTGAAAGCGGTGGGCATGTTCAGAGATTACAGCAACACTGCTCAAGATCCACAGTTTACTCAGGTACCATAAATAAATAAAACACCCTCCTGTTTGCTGATATATTTGCACAAATGAATGGAGAAATTAAGCTTTCATAGCTTTGAAACGTGAACAAGTTGCAAAATGATTGACTGTGTTCAAAACTGATCAAAACGATGTAAATGCAACAATAACCAAGGCAAAACATTGATTTAAAATTAGATTTTTCTAACACATTGCAAATGCTAAACTGATTGATAAGTTGAAGCTTTGAGCCACTATTTTGAAACAAAAGATCTGTCAATTTTTTAAAGCTTCTATACCAGCCATCAATCATTTATTTGCTCTAATCTCTGCTATTTACGTTTTCTCCCTCAGGTTGTTGAGTTGGACCTCACTACAGTCGAGCCGTGCTGCAGCGGCCCTAAACGACCACATGACAGAGTGTCTGTAGCAGAGATGAAAAAGGACTTTGAAACCTGTTTGGTGGCCAAGGTGCGTCACATTCACAGCTGGAAAATCACACAGGACCCTTCAGTTTACAGATTATGAAGTTTATTGTTCCTCATGAATTATCCTGACAGTATTAATGTTGAACTCTTTGTAGTTTTGTGTATTAAAGGGCACCTATTATGCACGTTTTTTACAAGATGTAATATACATCTCTGATAGAGTGTGTGTGTGAAGTTTCAGCTCAAAATATCACACAAATAATGTTTTATAACTCTCTGAAACTGAAGCCATCTTTCCACTGCACATGACAAACGACAAGCGACAGACCGGTAGTCATTCATTTCCAATGGAGAGTGGTCCGGGAGCTGCGGATCTGTTGAAATATTTGAGTTTATTTGGTTATTTTTTTAATCAGAAAAAGGTTATATGTATATAAAAAAATCTGTTTATAAATGTAAGTAATAAATATAATTTTTTAAAGTTGTTTCCACATTCCCTCCAACATTTTTAGCGGTCTATGAGTTTCAAGTATTCATTCATTCATTCATTCAACGCACAGAAAATAAAGGCTCTTACCTTTGCACTCCTTTATTTTGTACACTGCAAGAACAGCTTCTCTCCCATGGTGCACGTCAGAACTGAAAATTCTGTGCAACTGCCACAAGGGGGTGTATTCCGACAGCCATGTCCAAATGTCGTGTGCAGTGGAAAGGCGGCTTGACCCTTTTGATTCTAATTGTGGCGTTTTGGTGACTGTCGCTTTAAATGCAAATGAGATTGTGCTCTTTTCAAAAGAGGGCGGAGCTACAAATGCCTGTGTGTCAGCATAGTGGCAGATTCAAAAACAAGACTGACGTCCTCTGCTAATGAGGGAGAGATGGTCACCAGTGGGCGGGGCTTTCCCCCTCTGATGACACGTACAAAGAAAAAGTGTCAATCGAAGTGTTTCTGCAGAGGCTGGTTATATTCACAGACTGTTGCCACACAACTGTGTTTAAACCCCTTTTAAACGTGATTTTTGTGTAATAGGCCCTCTTTAAAAGGCTTTAGGATGTCGAGCTGAATGATTAAATCAATTAAAAGCTGTTTACAACACAACTGATATCAATGACAATGAGTACTGTGTTAAAATATATGCAGAAATTCTGTTAAAATCTAGTCTATGTTGATATCTGCAGTTAAAAACTAGCCTAGAGCGCCGTCTACTGTTAAACACTTGCCTCTGTTGTTTGTATCTGTGTGTGTGTTTTTTACAGCAAGGGTTTAAGGGTTTCCAGGTTTCTCCTGACCGATGTGATGTCCAAGTGCCGTTCCAGTTTAACGGAGCCGAATACTCGCTCGCTCATGGATCTGTGGTGATCGCAGCCATCACCAGCTGCACCAACACCAGCAACCCGTCCGTCATGCTGGGAGCAGGTACACAACTCTTCAAACATCAAGTTCTGGAAATAAAATCTCCACTTATTTTCTTCATAGGGAAATGATAACTAGTTTTTGACAATAGCTGTATTATATTCAACTATAAACATTTAAAGACACAGCTGATATGATCTTTTCAGAGATTGTTAGTCGATTATACAGTTTAAGGCAAAATTATTCTGTTAATTGCATAACCATGTAATACAAAATGCTGTAAACACTTTAAAAACCATAAACCCTGATGTTTGCCACGTGATGTTTTTGCATGCTTTTTGTTTTTAAAGAAAGTTACTTTATAGTTACAGTCAGTCATAAAGAAAAAATAGGAAAACTAAATAAATATAAACCTAAAAACTGATAAAAGCACTACATAAAAACAACCAACACCCAAGGAAAATAAAATAAAAATGACAAACATATTAATCAAACAATAAATTTACTATAAGTACAACAAAATCACTAAATTATTATTAAACCTAAAGAATTAATAAAGCTTTTTATTTATTTAAACAGAAATTTAAACTATTAAAAACACTAAAACTAAAGTAAAAATAAATGTAGACTAAATATAAATAATAGTAACACTTTATAAACATAATGACAAGCTCCAAATGCATTTGTGAGGTTATAGTTCTTATATGTGCTGTTTGTGTGGTAATGTGCTGTTTTTCCGTCAGGTCTCCTGGCCCAGAAGGCAGTTCAGGCTGGTTTGACTGTGAAGCCGTATATAAAGACCAGTTTGTCCCCAGGAAGTGGCGTCGTCACCTACTATCTGAAGGAGAGTGGAGTCATGGACTTCCTGTCACAGCTGGGGTGAGACTCTCAATCCTCTTTTTACATCACAAATAAAATATACCAGCAGTACTTTTTGTGGATTTGTGTGATGTGTATTATATATGTGTATTATATATATATATATATATATATATATATATATATATATATATATATGTGTGTGTGTGTTTGTATCATTATTATTCAAAAATATATGTATTATATATATTGATACAGAATTAATGTTTTTATTTAGTTTTTTAGTTTAGTTTAAATTGATTTAGTCAATACATTTTATTTATTATTATTTTAATATTTTAATTTTATATTGTTAGCTGGTTTATCACTAATTATTTATTATTATTATTGTGGTTGTTATTATTATTATTGTTTGTGTATTTTGTTATTGATCCAATATTTCTATTTAGCTTCAATTTATTTTGAAAAAATACAAATCGGCTTTATTAATAATTTGCTTTGTAACTTTTTTTTGCTTTGTAATATTTCTGTTAATTATTTTTTTTTTTCTTCTTCTGTTAAGCTTAACTTTATTTTACTGTGATTTTATTTTTTATAATGAATTTGTTTTGTTTTTATATTTGATCCATACCCATATATTTTATTCATTCATGTATTCATTTATTTGTTGATTAATTGATTCATTCATTTATTAATAACTTTGAAATCACTCAAAATAATTTAAGAGAACTGTAAATTTTACTTAGCGTGAAACCTTTTTCTGTTAAACTTCAAGCAAGATAATGTTTCTATTTCATTCAATATAATTTTAATATCTTTCCCAGAGATGGGTTGTGGCTGAAAGGGCATCCGCTGCATAAAAACTTGCTGGATAAGTTGGCGGTTCATTCCGCTGTGGCGACCCCGGATTAATAAAGGGACTAAGCCGACAAGAAAATGAATGAATAGATTTTAATATCATTTAGAGTACAAAACAATTATAATACATTTTGAACAGTTATATTTAAAGTCATCAATAACAGCATGTATTTATATTGATATTATTCATGCGTCTTCAGTTTTGAGGTTGTAGGTTACGGCTGCATGACCTGCATTGGGAACAGTGGACCTCTGCCCGAGCCGGTTGTAGAGGCCATCACTCAAGTAAACAAGCTTTTACTCTTCATTTTCAGAAACGCTTTATCTGGAGCATATTTTCAAGTATGATTTTGTGTTCTCAGGGTGATTTGGTAGCTGCTGGAGTCCTGTCTGGAAATAGAAACTTCGAGGGTCGCGTTCATCCAAACACTCGGGCCAATTATCTGGCTTCTCCTCCGCTGGTCATTGCGTACGCCATCGCCGGCACAGTGAGGATAGACTTCGAGAAACAGCCTTTAGGTTAGTAATAATAGTCCGCATTCAACCATCATGACTCCACAACTTTTGGGAAGTCATTGGACATAAGTGGTTTGTTCTGAAGCCAATTGAATAAAATAATTTCTTAACAGTATTAAGGGGCTCTTCATTAATGTGTGCAGGACCATTTTCTTTTTTTTTTTTGTGCAGTTTTTTACTTTTATTTTCTTTCCCTACATGTGCTACTTTATCTTTGTTCAAAAACTTTTATATATATATATATTTTTTTTTTCCATGTATTTATTTATTTATAATTTAATTTAATTTCAATTAATTAGAATTTTTTCATTCATTCATTTTCTTTTCGGCTTATTCCCTTTATTAATCGGGGGTCATCACAGCGGAATGAACCGCCAACTTATCAATCATGTTTTACACAGCAGATGCCCTTCCAGCTGCAACCCACTCACTGGGAAACATTCATACACACTCATTCACACACACACACACACACACACACACACACACTACGGACAATTTAGCTCACCCAATTTACCTATACCACATGTTTTTTGACTTGTGGGGGAAACTGGAGCAGGCATCACGCAAACATGGAGAGAACATGCAAACTACACACAGAAATGCCAACTGACCCAGTCCGGACTCGAACCAGCGACCTTCTTCCTGTGAGGCGATTGTGCTACCCATTGCGCCACCGTGTTGCCTTTCATTTTTTCATAAAATTTAAATTTAATTTAAATTTTGAATGTTTTATTTAAATAAATACAAATATTTTTTAAAAATTATAAAAATTTTCCTTAAATTTTTAATTTAATTTAATTTTTAACTTAATTTATTTATTCAATTTATTTATTCATTCATTCATTCATTTTCTTGTCGGCTTAGTCCTTTTATTAATCCGGGGTCGCCACAGCGGAATGAACCTACAACTTATCCAGCAAGTTTTTGGACTGTGGGGGAAACCGGAGCACCCGGAGGAAACCCACGCGAAGGCAGGGAGAACATGCAAACTCCACACAGAAACGCCAACTGAGCCGAGGTTCGAACCAGCGACCTTCTTGCTGTGAGGCGACAGCACTACCTACTGCGCCACTGCCTCGCCCTAATTTATTTTTTTCATTTATAAAATAAAAAAATAATTTCAGCAAAAAAAAAAAAAAAAAGAGATTTTCTAGAGTTTCATCGGTATGGCATTGTTGACAACTGATACGATAACCTATATCTATTTAGAGTTGTATAGCTGTAATATTGGCCAATAAATATGAATTTTTCAACATTTTCTGCATGATTGCAAATACCAAAGAGGAACACATACAGTGAACAGTGCTTTATTTTGTCATCCTAACTTCAGAAAAGCTTGAACTGACCTCTGAACTTTATTAAACCACTATTCTTTTCTGTGACCAACTTTATTTTATATAAAAAATCTATTGTGAAGTGGTTCAACCAGTGGAAATAATAAAATTATAATTTATTGGCTTAAAGTCATCGGCCTATTTTATCAGACCAATAATGCTAACATTAAAAATACCGTTTATCGGCCGATATCGATACAGCTGTTGATATATTACAGGGGTGGCCAACCCTGTTCCTGGAGAGCCACCTTCCTGCAGATTTCAGTTGCAACCCATATCAAACACACCTGCCTGTAATTATCACGTGGTGTTCAGGTCCTAATTAATTGGTTCAGGTGTGTTTGATATGGGTAGCAACTGAAATCTGCAGGAAGGTGGCTCTCCAGGAACAGGGTTGGCCACCCCTTATATATCAAAGGAAACGTATAAAAGGAAATACTGTTAAACAGCATTTAGGCAAAGTTTGTGACTTATAAAGTGCAACTTTATATATTTGTTGTTCTGTCTTGATCCAGCTGTGAACTCGGAGGGAAAAGAGGTTTACCTGCGGGATATCTGGCCGACGCGGGAGGAGATCCAGGCCGTGGAGAGACAGTTCGTCATTCCTACCATGTTTAAGGAGGTCTATGAGAAAGTCGAGGTAAAGTTGCTGGAAATCCTTGCAAATGCAAAGTTATTACATGGCAGCTCCAGAGTACTTGACTCTGATTGGTCAATCACAACATTTCAAGGTTATTCTCTGATAATAAAGGATTAATCTAATAAAATATATAGAGTTAAGGGGAAAATTATTAGCCCTCCTGTCAAATAATATCTATTCTTTTTCAAATAAGTGATGCTTAATAGAGCGAGGACATTTTTCATAATATTTCAGTGTTTTTATTTACTAATAATTCTGATTTCATCTGTTCACATGCCCCTCACAGATCTCTTTTAAATGAATATTTTTCTACAGGATGCTTTACAATGATATCTTATTGCATATACATTAGATTAGTCCATACTAAAGCCAGAATTAGAGCTAATCTAACAAATACGATCACAGTCCAAAAATGAGTACAGCCAAATGTATATATTGGGGAAAAATAATAAATCATATTTTAATAAACAGGAAAAAATCAAGAAAGACTTAATTTTTTTTTATAAAATTTAGTGGCAATCTTTTGATGTACTGCATTATCTTAATATTCCTAAAGATGTTCGGTGACCAAACTCTTATTTTAATAGATGAAATGGATTTATACAACTGTTTTGTTTAAATGCACCTAAATATATTGTGGCGAGGGGGCGTGGCCGAGAGCCGTGGGAACGGAGTGAGGCCGCCGCGTAAGTGGATACACCTGCGGTGCGCACCTGCCTCAAATCCCATGGAAGAAGGAGCGGAGAACCTACGCAGTTTTAACTATTTATTAATAACAGTGACGGCAGCTCCTCACGGAGACTGCCGTCTAAACCAAAACAAACGGACGGCAGCTCCTTATGGAGACTGCCGTCAAACTGAAAGCAAAAGTAAAACATGTCCGGGCCCGGTCCTCTCTCGGCTTCCTCTGCCATCGTTCATCCTTTTATTGTCCAGAGCTCCTTCCGTGGGATTCGAGGCAGGTGCGCACCGCAGGTGTATCCACTTACGCGGCGGCCTCACTCCGTTCCCACGGCTCTCGGCCACGCCCCCTCGCCACATATATTGATTATATTTACTGCGAAATGCCAAAAATGATTCTTTTTAAAAAGAGGGTGTGTGTGTGCGCGTGTGCGTGTGCGTGTGTGTGAGTTTGCATGCGTGCGTGTGCGTGTGAGTGTGTGTATGTGCTTATTTGACAGTTTGGCGCCATTTTGTGACAGAAAAATAATAATTTTCTTTCTGGAATCTTTATGTTTGATGAGAGTAATCTATTATAGGTCGGATTAAAGTTTTATGTCTAACAGGTTAGTTTTTTAGCCGTGTAGTAAGTGGAATAATGTACATCCAGGCGGTTGTTTAGCTATAAGTTGCTATTTAATTAGTTAAAGTTACTAGTAAGGAATAAAGTCATGGTAACTGATAACCTTAACCTTTCTGATTTTAATTGTAATGCAATAATGTGCCCCTTTTGTAAAGCTTCTTTGAAAGTGCAAAAGTCAAACTCAATTCCTGGAGGGCCGCAGCTCTGCACAGTTTAGCTCCGACTACCTCCAGCTCACACCTGCTTAAAAGTCTATAGTCGTCTTGAACACCTTGATTAGTTGGATCAGCTGTGTTTGATTAGGGTTGGAGCAAAACTGCAGAGCTGCGGCCCTCCCGGAATCCAGTTTGAGACCTGCTGTATGCTCTGTTATATACAACGGCTGCTGTTCAGTGAGAATGAGCAGTTAGATTTACATGATCCATTATATACCCACTGTGATTGTCTCTTTTAATGTTTATTTAGAAAGTGAACGAACGCTGGAACTCGCTGAAAGCCCCGTCTGACAAGCTGTACACCTGGGATCCCAATTCTACATACATAAAATCCCCACCTTTCTTTGATGAACTGGTATTGTACACTATTTGTGCTTTTTTCTGTTCAATATCACTATATCCTTATGAAGAAGCAGACTAGCATAAAAAGAGTAACATTATATGGTCTGCAAGTGCTTTAAAATGTGTAATTCTCTGTGCACATTCACTATTGTTAAGTGCACGTTATCTTCATAAGCATAGCCAAGACAGTAAACATACCATTAAGTTGCTTTTCTGCTGTTAAATCTTTAGACCCGGGAGCTCCAGACACCCAAACCCATAACAGATGCGTATGTGCTGCTCAATTTGGGAGATTCAGTGACCACAGACCACATCTCTCCTGCTGGAAACATCGCACGCAACAGTTCTGCTGCACGCTACCTGACTAGCCGAGGGTGAGACACTCTTAAAGCCCCTGTGAAATTAAAATAACGTTTTTTTTAAGATGTAATCATCAGTATGTTAGTCTTAAGGATATCTATAACCTAGTGTGCTCCAAAACAGTGACAAAATTCCCGGTTGGAAGATATAAACCTGATGTTAACATCCAAAGCTTGCCGTTTGTCACTTCACACTACATGGATCAACAGTTTTGCTGATGTCACCTCATACTTCAGTTTCTCATCACATCCTCAGACCAATCAAACGCTCTCTAGTGTCTGACAAGCCCCGCCCCCTTCCTCTCATTTGCTTTTTATTTAATGCACTTGAGCTCAGCTGCTCTCACTGGCAGAGCTGAGATGAAACAAAAGGCTATTGGCTGTTTTTTACAAATGGCATTAGCTACTCTGTCTTATATATTACTATTATATATGTCCCTGTTGTATAAACCTGATATAAACATCCAGAGCTTGCCGTTTGTCACTTCCGACATCATGGATCAACAGTTTCGTTGATGTCACCTTATACTTCAGTTTCTCATCACATCCTCAGACCAATCAAATGCTCTCTAGTATCTGATAAGCAGTGTTGGGGAGTAACTAGTTACATGTAATGGCGTTAAGTAATTTAATTACAAAATAAAAGCAACAGTAATTTGTTACAGTTACAGAGAAAAAAATGTGTAATTAAATTACAGTTTCTTATGAAAATGATAAAAATGCCATAAAAGTTAAAGAAAAGTCTAAAAGTTTTCTTTAGAAATCTGGGATATGTTGAATAATATTAATCTGCTGCTTTGCCTGTTTTTGATATGCATGATGCCTCCTGCTAAGGCCATTTATTAAAGCGGAGCTATTCCGATGCATCTGATTTGCGGCACACCCATGAGCGTAATTCCCAGGGGCGAACATTTCTCCCCCCATCCGAGGGGTTGTCCCCCCACCAAAAAATAAATATATATATATATATATATATATATATATATATATATATATATATATATATATACACACTCTCATGCACTCTGCATATATATATATATATATATATATATATATAAACGCACTCTCTATTGTGAAAAATATATATATGTATACCTAAAATAATTGTCTAAATGGAAAAAATGGATTCATCATTAAAAATGCATTTAGAAACAGTTCCCCTCCTCTTCCTCACAGTGGTTTGGCTCACTGCTTTCCCAGCTCACGATATCACCTATATACACACACACACACACACACACACACACACACACACACACACACACACACACACACACACACACACACACACACACACACACACACACACACACACACACACACACACACACACACACACACACATCTTTGTTTTTGTGAAAAGTGGGGACAATACATAGGTTTCCATTCATTTTATACTGTCCAAACCATATATTGTAATCCCCTCACCCCACCTCTAAACCCAACCACTAAGTTCAGCTTTACTCTCTGATTAAACTCATTCTGTAACATTTATAAGCATTTTGAGATACGAGGACGTCACCAATGTCCTCATATTTCACCTCCTTTTTGTAATACCTGTGTCATACCCATGTCATTATACGGATTTGTGTCCTAATATGTCACTAAAACACGTACACACACACACACACACACACACACACACACTAGTGATGAAAGATTTTGAGATTCTAACAGTAAACAGCAACTGTAAGGTCACACCTGCTCGGTATAAATGCTTGAAAATGATTTGGTTAAAAATAAATATTAGAAAGTTTAAAAGTAATCAAAAAGTAATCAAATGTGATTAGTTACTTTTATAAAATAATCAAAAAGTAGTGTAACTTATTACATTTTAAATAGGGTCATTTGTAATCTGTAATCTATCACACTGCTGACAAGCCCCGCCCCCTTCTTCTCATTTGCTTTTCATTTGATGTGCTTGATCTCAACTGCTCTCACTGGCAGAGCTGAGATGAAACAAAACGCTATTGGCTATTTTTTTTAAAGGGGAGGAGCTACTCTCACTATATATTACTATTATAGATTTCCCTGTTGAACATATACTTCATCTTTTCAGCGGATATCTAATGTGTGGTGAAATGTTGTTTTACAGACTCACGGCGAGAGAGTTTAACTCGTATGGTTCCCGTCGGGGCAATGATGCAGTGATGGCTCGAGGAACGTTCGCCAACATTCGCCTTTTCAACAAGTTTATTAACAAGCAATCACCGACTACAATCTATCTGCCTACAGGAGAGACGGTATGCTCATCTCTTTATATATAGATATATACAAAATTGTTGGTATCCTTCAATTTAATCCAGGCCAGTTTCATTAGTTTGCTTCTGTTGAAGCACAATTTAAAACTGATTTTCATTCTCAGTTTATTTTTGATTAATCACTACTTTCATTTAGTTTCAAGTTATTCCAGTGATCACTGTGGGTTTTACTTTCTTCATTGAAAGGTGACGAAGTTCTTTCATCCATGTCTGTATATGTAAATATTCATGATCAGCACACTCAGAGACGTAATCAGGCACTCCCAGGTACAGACGTCCAGTCTACACGCTGAAATACACGCTAAGATCTCATGGCCGTGACGCAGCTTCAGAAATTCGTTTCAAACCAGAAGTACGAATTTGCTCGAAATAACGCAAAAACAACCAACTTTGAGAGGCTGTACGAGTGCTGATGTTACTTTAATATCTCACGGCTTCCAGCCAATCAGATTCGAGAACCAGACACAACTACATGTGCAGCGTTAAAATAAATCTACTCTCCATTAAACAGCTCTTGGGTAATAATTGACTTTTTTGCTAGTTAGGAGTTAGCATGATGGTTAGATTTAAGGTTTCATTTATTATTATGCATAATTTATTGTTGTTAGTATAGTAAGTGCATAGAACATATGTAATGAGGACATTAAACTGTTACCTGTTATTTATCTGTGTTTCGTTTGTTGGTGTGTTTTCAGTTGGATGTGTTTGATGCTGCAGAAAAGTATCAACAGGCTGGTCATCCTCTGCTGATTCTGGCTGGTAAAGAGTACGGTTCAGGAAGCTCCAGAGACTGGGCTGCCAAAGGGCCCTTCCTGCTGGTGAGATTCACACTAAAGCTATTAAGAATACACTACAGAATAAAGTCATAAATGCAGATGTTTAACTTGCGCATGAGCATCAATGATATTTAGTTTTAAACCGTCCCCTATTCCCCTCTCTTTCTTATTAACTTTTTTATATTAATTTATTTAACCAGTTAAACTCCGCGGACCCGGTACTGGGTCCGTGACGTCATCGACTTTCACTTTAAGATTTAAAGAGCTAGCATTGCACCAGACCCCCTTAAGTGGTTTCGGTTGAAAGTGTAGAATCTATGCACATATGCATCACTTTGGTTTTTATTCTACTGTACAAAAGTTATTTACACTTAAATACACAGTATTTTGGATACCCGAGCTGGGTATTGAACATTGGTTAATTTTCATATTTTTTATATGACACATGCACAAGTTATAGCTCAAATGAAAGCTCTTGCCGGTGCTCATACGGCTCTAGCGCTCTTTTTACTGAATTATATTCACATATCAAACAGTTGTCGAATGAATCGCTGTGTTTCCATGGCGCAGAAGTGAAAACAATACATTTATGATCAATAAGCAGCCCCAGATAGCACAGACAGCTGTCATCTCTCACCTTATGCTGTGTGCTTCAGGGCCATTCTCCTCTGTTTTTGAGCTGATGTGCATAAGTAATCCTTTTATATGTCTGACGTGCTCCAAACACAGTGAATTATGTTTGATCAAAACAAAAGAATAGTGAAATATGAAAACAATGATCGCTCCCTGTGGCTTGTACAGCACCTCTCAGCAGTTGGAATGTAATAACTTTTGCATAGATTATGGTGGAAACATTTGTCTTTTTTCCTATGATTACAGACATGTGCAGGAACCACCAACATTAATTACAGCACGCAAAACCTCACAGAACCTAAAAGGTGCACTTGAAATTTGAGTTTATAAAATAAATACAAAAAGCGCCTCTTTTATTAGGTGTTTATCATAACACAAACAACATATACAGATATTTTAAACACTTTCAGTAGTGTTTTATGAAAATTCAAAGGGTTTTCTTTAAAATGATACCAAATTTTTGCATTTACACCTCTGCATGTGGATTTGGGAAGCTTTTAAGTGGGTAGGCAAAATATAGGCGGAAATCCCAAAATAACTGCAGAGTTTAACTGGTCAAACTTATTTAATTATTTATTTATTACCGAGTCTCTGGATCTTTGCAGTGTAAATATAGACATCCCATAGAGTCGCTTTTAAAAGATGATGTAAGCAGGTTGTCAAAAAAAAAAAAAAATCAGACACAGCCACATAATCAGAATTGACCATCAGGATCTGCAGTGTAAATGCAGCCTCGGTGACCTGCTGCTGCTGGTTTTTCTCCCTCAGGGCATCAAGGCAGTGCTGGCGGAGAGTTACGAGCGGATTCACCGCAGTAATCTAGTGGGCATGGGTGTAATTCCTCTGGAGTATCTGCCGGGAGACTCAGCGGAGAGTTTGGGTCTCAGCGGACGCGAGCGCTACACTGTGATGATTCCCCCTCAGCTCAAGCCCAGGATGACTGTGGACATCAAGGTAAAGCACATGACATAAACTGTGTTTGTTTACATCATCCACCTAATTTAATGACAATTATCACATTTAAAAAATAAGAGATGTGCATACATTTAGAAGATTTAAAAATGAGAAGGATTACCTTTTCATCCAACAATAACCTAATACATTTAAAGGGGTTATCAACAATTAATTGATCATCGGGTATTTATTAGCATATATATATATATATATATATATATATATATATATATATATATATATATATATATATATATATATATATATAATTTCTTGTTTTATTTCCTAATTTTACATACTTATATTTTACATTGGCTGTATTTACTTTTATTTAATTATATTATTTATAAGGCTAATTTAGAAATTTAGGTTGCAGCACACGGCACATTTCTAAAATGTTAGGAAATGTTTATTTTGGAGGTCATCTTATTCCTTAAATGTATATTTCTATAATTCTAATACTATCATGAATTTAATTAGAATAATAAAATATGTTATGATAATTGTACACAACTATATTCTGAGATTTATTTATTTATTTATTTTTCTCCTGCATGTTGCGTTTGATTAATTGTGGTGTATTTTAACTTTGGTATTTTGCAGCTGGACACAGGGAAAACATTTCAGGCTAGGATGAGGTTTGACACGGATGTGGAGCTCACTTATTTCCATCACGGCGGCATCCTAAACTACATGATTCGCAAGATGTCTGAAAATTAAGATGAGAAGTACACCTTCCTCAAGACGGTCCACGCTAAACGCACACTTCCACCATCGGGATGCTTGTTTTTGTCTTGTTGGGATGTAACGATTCACTGAACTCGAGGTTCGATTCATGATTCAATGTGATTCGGTTTTCTTAAGTTTTTTTTTTTTTTTTTTTTTACAAAATCAGATTTAGGAAATTTTATTAGATTAAGAAAAAATGTGAAATAAAAAGTGTTGCAATTTTAAGGTAAAAAGTACAATTCTGAGAAAAAAAGACCATTTCTTTTGCCATTTTCAGATCAGACAAATTCTGAGGTATAAAAAGCCACAAAAATTAAAAAGTAGTTTAGAGAAGAATAGTCAAATTATAAGGAATTAAAAGACACAAATAACAGCAAATATTTATGATTTTGAGGTGAAAAGTCTAATTTTGGAATGAAAAAAAGCCACAAATATAAGCAAATAGTTGCAATTCTTAGGAGAACAGTCCAACTCTGAGACAAAAAAGCCACAAATAACAGCAAATAGTTGCAGTTTTGAGGAGAAAAGTCCAATTCTAACACAAAAAAGCCACAAATAAAAGCAAAGAGTTGCAATTCTGTGGAGAAAAGTCCAGTTTTGGGATGAAAATGTCACAAATAAAAGCAAATAGTTGCAGTGTTTAGGGGAAAAAAGTCCAACTCTGAGACAAAAAAAATCAAAAATAAAAGCAAAGAGTTGCAGTTTTGAGGAGAAAAGTCCAACTCTGAGACAAAAAAGCCACAAATAAAAGCAAAGAGTTGCAATTCTGAAGGGAAAAGTTCAATTCTAACACAAAAAAGCCACAAATAAAAGCAAATAATTGCAGTTTTTAGGTGAAAAGTCAAATTCTGAGAAAAAAATGACACAATTAGAAACAAATGTTTGCAGTTTTGAAGGGAAAAGTTCAATTCTGGGAAAAAAAAAATGTCGCTAAATGGACATATCCACCATCTGGATACTTGTAAAACAAACCTCTGTTCATGTAAGTTACAGAAATAATAAAATCTCTTCATATAAACAAAGTATATTTAAAATTAGAGGCAACCACTGCATTTAAATCATAATCTAAACAAAAAGGCAGCATACATAAACAGTTTTTAATCTAAATTACCATGTATACTTTTGCAATCTGAAGCGAAAACATAAAGGTTTATCTTGATGGAAACAAGACATGGACAGAGCAGAGAAAATACCTGAAGGAAACCGCAGATGCAGATCAAAGTCCCTTTCGTGTATTCTGTAATCTTTGTGCAGATAAAGCTGGAAGTGGATTTCAAAGTGAGTCGATTCTTCAATGCCGGAGCTTTGAGAATCAATAGATATTTCTGTGAACAGATTCAGTGATTCGATGAATTGGTTCAAATGACCATATCCGCGATTCACTCACAATGGCATATTTTCTTACAGCATGGAGCTATTAATATGACAAAACTGTTTGAATTGTGTAAATCTGAATTATTGACAAGAGTTAATTAATAAAAACCAATATTAAATGGCATTTAAAATAGTTTACTTAAATATCGAACGTTTGAAATGTAAGACAAGATTAAGGCAGATTAATAATAACAATCGTCAATAACTCAAATGAACACAATGCAGATTTGGCATATTATTAGCTATTTTTATTTAGCTAATTACAACAGTTAAGATTTGATTCTTAGAGTCGAGTCTATTGAGTCGATTCTTATGATTGCTCAGGCGCAGATTCACTCTCTGCCAGCAGATGGCGCTTTTGAACAGCAGTTGTAGTGTTACCTTGGTTAATGTTGTAAACAAAGTAGGGCTGCGCTAATCTAAAAACGTATTAACTCTTATTTAATATGTATCAGAGGCAAGGCAAACTGTAAATAAAGTTTTCTAATCACATTCAGGTCAGTTCCTCTTAGAGATTCATTCATGTAAACTCCTGCAGGGTTTGTTTGGAATCAGAATTGAATTGAATAGTCACAAATGAATCGTTTTTCAACCGGTTCGTGAATCATCGTTACATCACGACCTGTAAGTGTTTCTGTTTGTCTCTTAAAAAATCAACTAAAATGCTGTTTGCTGTACAGTAATAGTTGCTGTCAGCATCAAAATAAGCATAATAGTCATAATCCGCAGTGTTTTTAGGTTGATGATTTTGTTTATGATTGTTTTGTGGAGGTTTGGTAGGATTGAAGGGGAAGATTAAAAGCATTAGATGTTAAAATCACTGTTTAACTTTCTCCATTCTAGCCAAACTGCAGTACTGTACATCCGTTTATAAATTAATTGTCACATTAATTACTGTACTTGAAGCAATAGTTCTGTCAAAAAAGTTTATATTTGCTGTTTATTTACTTCCTCCTCAGCACATCTAAGAGATAAGAATGAATATTTTGCTATGAAATGACAAATTTTCAGAATAAAGTAAAGGTAATTGCAGCTTCTGACTTTATTCGTTGCAATTATGATAATAACTATGATAAAAAAAAGTCTCATATAAAACCAGATAGTTGCAATTTTGAGAAGAAAAGTCCAATTCTGAGAATAAAAGCTATAATTAAAGCAAAATAGTTGCCATTTTGAAGGGGAAAGTAAGATTTAAGTGAAAATTCACAAATAAGAGCAAAACAGTTGCAATTTTGGGAAGAAAAGTCCAATATCTAAGAAAAAAAGCCATAAATCAAAAGTAATAGTTGCAATTTTGAGGAGAAAAGTAACATTTTAAGAAAAAAGGCCACAAATAAAAACAAAATAGTTGCAAATTGTGAGGAGAAAAGTCCAATTTATGGGAAAATAAGCCACAAATTAAAGCAAATAGTTGCAAATTTGAAGAGACAAGTAAATTTCTAAATAAAAAAGCCACAATTACAACAAAATAGTTGAATTTTTGAAGAGAACAGTCCAATTATGAGACAAAATTTTGCAAATAAAAAAGTGCAAATTTTGAGTAGAAACGTCAATTTCTAAGACAAAAGCCACAAACAAAAGCAAATTGCTTCAATTTTGACGGGAAACCTCAAATTTTGAGGGAAAAATGGCACAAATAAAAGCAAATAGTTGCAATTCTGAGACAAAACAAATGTCATAAATAACAAGAAATGCTCACAATTTTGAGGAGAAAAGTGCAATTTTGAAAAAAAATGTCACAAATAAAAGCAAAATAGTTGCAATTTTGAAGCGGAAAGTAAATTTTTAAGAGAAAAAGCCACAAATAAAAGCAAAATAGCTGCAATTTTGGGGAGAAACGTCCAATATCTAAGAAAAAAGCCATAAGTTAAAACTATATAATTGCAATTTTGAGGAGAAAAGTAACATTTTAAGAAAAAAAGTCACAAATAAAGCCAAATAGTTGCAATTTTGAGAAAAAAAGTCAAAAATGAAAAGGAATATTTGCAATTTTGAGGAGAAAAGTCCAATTCTGAGACAAAATGTCACTAATAAAAGCAAATTAGTGTAAGAAAATAGACTAGTGAAGAATTGCTGTAAGAAAATAGACTAGTGGTTTTGGGTGGAAAAGTCACATTTCCCATTATGAAAAAATAAGTTTAAAAGTCAAAATTGCGAGCAACAAAGTCAGAATAGTGAGAAAGCATATACTTACTACTGGAAGTCAGTCCCAAGCTTGAAAAAAGTCAACTTCTGAATAAAAAAAAAAGGCAGTTTTGAGAACTTCTTCAACACTTCTGCCAAAAAATTGGTCGTAAGTCTAAGGAAAAACATTGCAATTACAAAATGAATGTGTGTAAGTGAACAGCAAATGGATCATTTTTTTGCAGGATCTATTTTTCAACTGAATTCGAAATACATTCCTATCTGTAAATGTCCATTCCGACTGAAATACTGAAGTAAATGTGTTAGTTTGCATAAGAGAATCCCTTTACGAGCTGTCCAATATGAACTTGAACATTTAAAAGTGCCTACATTTTCTCATCGTTCACTTGTCATTCCAGTTGTTATTTTTGTTTGTGCATTCCTGTTGAAACGTGACTTAAAATTCATCCAAAGTCAATTTGCACATGTTTTTTATTTATTAGCAAAAGCTTAAAAACAGTTGCTGATGTAAAACTGTGACGTTCTTCAATGCTGTTTCAGATGCTTTACTAAAACTGCTGATGCACAGAAAAGAAACACTGAAAATGTCTACATCTAGAATATGTAGTGCGTCAGAGAAAGTGTTGTTGTAATTTAATACTCAAGGCTTTCTTCTGTCCGAGTCCATGTTGTTTTAAATGACAATATACCTGATTTATTATACATTTTAAAGTATATTATTTCATCATTCCACTGCAGATCAGAGAGAAAAATGCTTTTGATATTGCATGAAATACTCTGTACAGGCAGAACTTTGCAGTCATTTCTCTACCAGAATGTCATTATAATAAATTAAAGTCTTACTGATTGTCCTTTATTGTAATAACAGCACATTCATATCTGTATTTTTGTTAAAACCGCCTTTAAAATAAATAAATATTTACTGAAAATTTACATTTTATTCGTGTTTATGTCCAACATTACATATCAGGATCACATTGAGATCATGATGCATCATCTGAAAGCTGAATAAATGTATGTTGGAATATCAAGCCAATTCCATGCGTGTTCAATGAGAAAAGGCCTGGAGAGGGTTTTCTTCGATGCCAAAAATATTAGTAATTTATTAGATACAAATGAATAATTCCATGACAGAGCTCTGGGTTGAGTTACCCCAATGCAATACAAGAATACATTCAAGGGGTTCACAGCTAACATGCATTTCCTGACTCCAGCATATACAGTTGAAGTCAGAATTATTAGCCCACCTTTGAATTTTTTTCTTCTTTAAATATTTCTTAAATGATGTTTAACAGAGCAAGGAAATTTTCACAGTATGTCCGATAATATTTTTTCTTCTGAAAAAAGTCTTATTTGTTTTATTTCGACAAGAATAAAAGCAGTTTTAAATTTATTATGAACCATTTTAGGGTCAAAATTATTCGCCCTTTTAAGTTTTTTTTTTTTTTCGATGGTCTACAGAACAAACCATCTTTATGCAATAACTTGCCTAATTACGCTAAACTGCCTAGTTAACCTAATTAACCTAGTTAAGCCTTTAAATGTCACTTTAAGCAGTATGGAAGTGTCTTGAAATATATTATTTACTGTCATCATAGCAAAGATAAAATAAATCAGTTATTAGAGATGAGTTATTAAAACTATTATGTTTAGAAATGTGTTGAAGAAAATCAGCTTTCCGTAAAAAGGAAATTGGGGGGAAAAAAAATAAACGGGGTGTGATAATTCAGGGGGGCTAATAATTCTGACTTCAACTGTATACACATCTGATATTAACAGGTGGAGTTTTGGTGTCACTCATCAGTCATTCTGCAGTCCTTTGGCTCTTGTTCCCCAGACTTACTTCCTCTTTCTGCAACCCTTCTCTGCATACCAGAACTGAACAATTACATGCATCTTTAATACATTTCACAACTTCTACAAGCCTCATGACAACTTGTGACAAAAGTCCCCACACTAAATTTATTCTTATTCTGCTATTTCCTCTGGTCAGTTGGTTCTATAAAAGTATGCAGCTCAGTTAAATAGAGGACGTGTGTCTGGTCAATATGTGATCTCATACAAAGGAAAAAGATTGATTAATGTGTTGTTAGTCTAAACATTTTTCTAATGAAAAAATAAAGACACAAAAATATTAAAAATAAATTTCTTTTCCCCCCACATGTTTTATGTAGCTCGTTGATTTTTGGTTTGTTCGGATATTAATAATAATAATAATAATGTTATATTATAATATTATTATTATTATAAGATACTATTTAAAAAATCTGAAATTGAAGTGTTTAGATAAATCTAAATATTGAGAAAATTGCCTCTTAAAGTGGTCTAAATTATTAGTAATGCATATTACTAATAGAAATTAAGTTCTGATATATTTACAGAACATAATTTTTACTTGATATTCTACAGATTTTTGGCATTAAAGAAAAAAAAATCTAATTGTGTATTGTAAAAAATAATTTTTGAGGGCAGAAATTGATCATTTTTTTCCCTTGAACCATTTATTTTATCCAGCAGTGATAAAATACAGATTGAATTTCCAGGTAAACGTCGTTGTTTAGTATATATTTATGCATTAGGAAGAACATTTACTTCATTTACGATAATATAATATATTATAACATCATGATAAATAAATATTACACATAATAGGATTTTATTGTGAATTATTTACTTTGAATTATGATAGTACATGTACTACTGCCACGACTGATTTAATAATTACTGTTTAAATAATGTATTTATTTAGACCATAACTATTTTTTACTAAAACAAGTTTACTGTATGTGGACATCTCTTCAATAGGGGATAAATTAAACAGAGGACCTTTACTTGACATAGGATATTGACAATAGAAACTGTACTGTATGCATCATCACTATAATTACTGTTTTAATTTGGCTTATAACTACAACTATTGCCTCTTACTTAATTGAAAGCTGCTCTGCAACAGTGGAAAATCAAACAGGACTTTTACTTTGAAAAAACGTTGATGTTAAATTTTGTGCACAGACATAATAATCACTGTTTAAATGATGTATTAATTTTATATAATTAATTTTGTCTTTAACTACTGCCATCACCACTATATGAAGACTGCTCTGCAACGGTGGACAATTTAAACAGAAGACTTTTATATTGAAATATAACAATATTGATGATGAAAATACATATGTAATAACGCTACCAAATACATCATAATTGCTGTTAAAATAATGCATTAATTTGATCTGTAACTACTGCTATTAACACAAAATCAAAATACAAAATCAGGGCGCTCAAGATCTGATTTCTTTAAAAATCAATGATCTTCACTGCCTGGTTGATATATGATATAAAGTGGGTCTCAGACTGAATAAGAAGCACTGCATTAAATTACATAAATTTGCACCATGTCTTACCACAGTATTTTTAATGGAGTTTCTGCACTCACCTGTTGCTTCTGACTGTGTTGAAGTGATCCTTCATCTTATTTTATGCTTGAACAGTTAAATAAATGCTTAAATG